ATCACTTGCTGTGATCCATGCGCTCCGCCGACTTTTTGCCACCCACGGGTTGCCTGACGTCATCGTCAGTGACAACGGGCCTCAATTTGTGTCTGAGGAATTTAGGCTCTTCCTCACGAGTAATGGCATACGCCAAATGACTTCGGCCCCTTTCCATCCGGCATCTAATGGCCAAGCCGAACGGATGGTCAGGACGGCCAAAGAGGCCCTGGGTAAAATGGACGAAGGGGACTGGAGCCAGAGGCTGGGCTCCTTTCTTTTGCTGCAGCACACCACCCCCTGTAGTGCTACAGGCCGTAGTCCGGCCGAATTGTTAATGGGGCGGAGACTCACGACCCGTTTGAACCGAATGCACCCAGACCTCACAGAAGATCAGTCCGAGCGTACCACTGCGCAACCGAAGGTGCGCATGTTTGAAAAAGGGGACAAGGTTTTCGCACGAAATTATGCAAACGGGCACTTATGGCTTCCTGGGGTTATATCCGACTCTGTGGGTACTCGAATGTATGTGGTGCAGTTAGCTGACGGTCGAATATGGCGGCGCCACATAGATCAGTTAAGGAGACGTTGGGCTAGGGGCAGCGCTGACTCTCCGACGGCTGAATCCCCTGATGTCGAGTGGACACCCCCAGAGCAGGCGGTGAGTACCGAAAGGCCCGGTACTGTCCCCGAGTCAGGGCAGAACCCTGTGTGCGGGGCTGAAATCCCAGTCGAGTCTGTGCCTGATCCAGGCTGTAGTGAACCCTACTCTGACCCACAACCTTGTCTGCCCGTGGAGCCTGCACCGCTCCGCAGGTCCCAGCGTTCGCGGCAAATGCCGACTTATCTGAAGGACTATGAGTGTAAATACTGTTGGAATACCTGATGTACAAAGGTTGATTGCATGTATGTAAATAATAAAACAATTGGGATGATGGCTTAACTTAGGGGGGAGGAATTGTAATGTATTGAAATGATTACATGAATCACCTCATAGGACTCCCATGTTAAGCTTCGAGCCAGACCAGGGCTCCTCTGAGCGAACTTCCTATTGGTCGCTTCGTAACAGCGACCAATCAGAACAATACCATTCCCTAGGAGGGAAAGACTCCCATTGGTCTTTATTCTAGCAATCTCATTGGTTGTTATTTGTAAATAGGCGTGGCTACATTAGCCCGGTTATGTTTAAAAGGAGCATAAGCTCCCACTGTTTTCTGTTCTGGTTTCTTACTGAGTTAGTGCTTGTTCGTTACTTCTAAATAAAGCTGAATCACTTGCTGAATCACTCTACGAGTCCTTTGTTAGCGCGATCTAACAGTATCTGTCCCTTAAGACTGCACCAGTTTTAGCTAAGACCAGCTAAAAATACCCAGCTCACTTGGCTCTCTGTCTCCAAATCAAAACTGCAACAGATGCTCCAAGTTCTTTTTCATCTCCTTCCCAGAAGAAGCGAGTCACTTATTCTGGTGGTTTCAATCATAAAATAGTGTTCTGCATTTCTGACCTGTTCTGGATCCAGAAGACGCAGCACATAAGAGATGAAGACTGCAAAGTAGTATATCTGTAATAGCTCAGATTTACTTTGGAGATTGAAACTGCAATAAAACATGTAGTGACCTGTGGTGGGTTGCTGGACATGAAGGGAAAAAGATGTATATGCAGAGGAATAAAAACAAAAATACACCCCAAACAAGGACATGTCAACTCTCAAGTAAGCCCCATTGAGTTGTGTAAAACGCACACAGGATCAGGCTGCAAGTAACCCAAAATTACTCCTTGCAACCAGATTGTTTTCAGGTACTCTGTATTTTTGTACCAATGCAACACCCAGTTCTATAAACCTGGCTGATTCTTTGTGCCTGGTCTTGATATTCCTCAATACATCTCTCCTTATACATAATTCTGTTTTCGCAAGGCAACATTCCATGCACTCCCTCAGCCACTGGCCCGTCAGCCACCACTCAAGAGTACTCGCATGCCATTGGCCAGGTGCTGGGTCTTCTCCTCTTCCCCACCCACACCCCCTTCAGCCACTGTGCCGTCAGATTTACTTGCAAACAAAGACGCTTCTCCTGCTTGCCTCCTGTGTGGGACTTAACTTTTCCCTCATTGGTGTTGGTAGGTGTAACAAAATGACAGTTAGCTGTGTTTGTAACATGGCTGCCATCTGTGGTTGTTTGTTTAAAATGTCCCCCCATAAGGTTTAATTGAACTGTAGTTCCAGAGAGGGGCCTGCAGGGGTATCACTCACTGGGTTGAATGGGGCTTCCTTATCTGCTGGCCTACGGTTCCCAGCTGCCCCAAGGCCAAAAAGTGCAGGAAAAGACTGTCCCAAGGGACAGGGCAGCATCAATATAGACTCCAGCCCATCCAGGGAGGAGGCAGTCAGTCCTACAGGTTAGGAAACGCTCCTGCTGCCTGTGCTGACGAGGCTATCCAGGCCACAAACCACAGATGTGGGGGAACCCTGGGAGGCAGCAGAGATTCAGCCAGTCCACAGTCAGCTGGACTAGGGAATGAATGGAAGTTTCCCTGCTCTCTTGGGCTTGGCCTAAAGCAGAGCCAGAGGCCAGTCCAAGGAGAGATCCTATCCTGAGCCCACAACCTCCACAGGTAGAGAGTACTGTGTGTTGGTTCATATTGTGAGCTTACTCCTACAGTTCTGCCATATTCATTTAGTGTGTGAGCACTCCATAATTCTGTAAATAAATTATTTTATTTGGGCTACTAATCTGTGTTGTGCTCTGACCATAGTCTCCCCGCTCTGCACAATAACAAAGGGAGGGGGTAGCCCAAGGAAGCAAGGAAAGGCCAGACCCTAGGGTTGCCAACTTTCCAAGATTGGGGATTGCGTCTCCAAATAGGGAGATTCGGCCAGAGGGGTCTCACTGTCCCTCTAAAAAGGCAGTGACAATTCAGTGAGTGGTGGCAGTGAATTTAAGGAGATACGCCCACGGGAGCTGAAGAGTGAGGGAGAAATAAACATATGTTGATAATTGACTGGGAAGGAGATAGGGTTGCCAACTCCAGGTGGGAAATTCCTGGAGATTTGAGGAATGGAACCTGAAGAGGGTGAGGTTTGAGGAGGGGTGGGACCTCAAGACAGGTATGATGCCATAGACTCCACCCTCCCAACCAGCCATTTCCACCATCTCCAGGTGAGGGGTGATCACTCAGAATTACAACTGATCTCCAGGAGGGGGGAGGAAATGGAAAGCTGAAATCAGAGGAGCAGATGATGGCAGGTTGATGCTTGGCTGGGAAGGAGATAGGGCTGCCAACTCCAGGTTGAGAAATTACTGGGCATTTGAGGGGTGGAGCCTGGAGGGGGTGAGGTTTGAGGAGGGGTGGGACCTCAGACAGGTACAATGCCATAGACTCCACCCTCCGAATTAGCCAGTTTCTCCTTGGGAACCATTGTTACCAATCTCCAGGTGAGGGCTGGAGATCACTCAGAATTACAACTGATCTCCAGGAGGGAGGGCAGAAGTCAGCTGCAGTCAGAGGGGCAGATAATGGTAGGTTGATGGGTAGCTGGGAAGGGGATGTCGGGTTGCCAACTCCAGACTGGGAAATTCCTGGGAATTTCAAGGGTGGAGCCTGGAGAAGGTGGGGTTTGAGGTCGCCACAGCAAATTGACGCTGAATGCCTAAGGCCTTGGCACTCTCCCAGAGCCTCTTTCTAGAGCTTGTTGTATTTATTTTCACAACGGGCCTTATTTCCTAGTAATTTATAAAGCTCATTCCTCAGTTACCTACCCCTAAATCTTGAATTAGTTACCTGAATTATAAAAAGAGAGATGTTGCCATTGGGTGTAGCATAAAAATATTACAATTTAGAGATGCAGAAAATTTTTTCCCCCTCCCAATAAGACAAATTTATCTCATTATGTTATACCACTCCTCCAATAGACAGGACTCTTTTCTACATCCCCCCCCCAATCCTTAAGGTGGCCTCATGTTCCCCCCTTTGCTCTGCAGATGCTGCAATGCTGCCACTCCTAGCCTTGTGTTGGACCCCAAGCGTCAACCCATGCTTTTCTTGACATTATAAGCTGCCAAGAAGGGCTTGCTTTCTTTTAAAATCTTTGTAAAGCACCTACTTATGTTAAATAATAATGCACAGCTCCGCAAAACAAGACTGGACAACTTTTACTGCCTTCCCTTTCTTGCAGATGGCCTGTGTCCTCAAAAAAATAAAATAAAATTCTGAGTTTGTGCAGTAACAGTTGCTTCCATGAACTCACATGGCCCACAGACCCAAGCCATGATATTCCACCCACCAAGCTGATCACTGAATACTCCACTGAAGCCCTGCCATGGTCAAGTTCTTAGTGGTGTTTCAGCAGAGACAGAAGCACTGCATATCAGCAAGGTTGGGTGTGGATTTTTCTCCCTCACAGCCCTCTTCTGTTCTTTCTGAAATCTGGATCTCAGCCCCCTGGCTACTGACAAATGCTTCTGTTAACGATGGAACATTAGAGCATCCTTGTATTCGCTCTACTCACCTTCCATGTCTGCCCAGAAATGTGATGGTGTAAGTTAGGGTGGAGTTTGCTTTGCTGCTGAGAAAAATGCATCCTTCTGAAAGTGTGTGCAATGCACATGCTAGTGTTGATGGGGTTATGAAATCACAGCCCCCCTGTCCATGACTCTGGTGAGCGCAGATAAAAAAATTATTTTGTTTGGACCACAACCCCCCGCCAGGTTTGAGCCAAACCTCTGAGGCACTGACGCTGTTGCTCCCAGCCAGTAGCAAGGAGAGAAGAGCTGATGGGTGACAGCAAAACAACCTTGGACCACTCAGTCATGGCCATCTCCTGTCCACCTTCCTTCCCACAGACCATCCGGAGGATACCTGTCGGCCACACATTTAAGTGCTGCTTTAGATCTCTTCTGGTAATGTCCAGCCGATGTTATCTAAAAATGGGTATTAGAATGCGAAGACTCATCCATCCCTTCTGAATTGCTGCTCCGAGACACAAACATTCACTAAAAACCATTTTATTTCCTCCCCTTGGTTTTGTAACACATTTAAAGGAAATGTAAAACCCTTGCAAATCCTCCAGACGAAGATTCTACTCCAAACCTCCCAGCAATTCGGACAGAACAAAATAAATATTAAACCCTCAGCTGAGCTGTTTCCACATCTGAAGGGAGTAGAGATTCCTCCTTGGTCCTGAATACCCTGTGCTCTCACATCAGACCCAATACATGCGCAGTGGGGCAGTACCATGCAGACACCCAAAGGCCAGGGCACAGGCAGGACTGGGCTGAGGATTGCATGAGGGGCTGGAGGCAGGGAAAGGGACAAAACCCCTCCAGGTTTTGTTTCCATAACTACCCACCCCATTTAAGCCACAGACAGAAATAGGAAGACCTGGAAAAGACAGGGGGTGAGCAGGTGGGGGCGGGGGTGGTGGTGGTGGACCCACTACTGGCTCACTTGGCATAAGATTGGGAGATTGTGTGTGTGTGTGTGTATACACACTCACACAAACACATATACCAGTGTACACACACACACACACACACAGCCCTCAAAAACCAGAAAAGGGAGAATGCAAACAGTCAATTCACAAACACAGTTTATGTCAAGGTTCCCTGCTCCACTCCCCAGAAGTGAGCTGAGAGATGTTGGCTGAGCTGTGGGTCAAAGGGGACCACAAACAGAACAGCAGGAAGTTGGGCTTGATATGACAGAAGGAACTCTGGGGTTACGTAGACATTTCTCCATGTCCAAATGGCACTGTACACCAGCTCGCAGCCTCTGCTAGGCAGAGTGGTTTCTTTCTTCCTCTTTCTCTGCACCTGGCGTCCTTGGCTCTTTCCCACCGCAGACCCACCCTTGGCACCAGCCGCTGTTGCTCGGACAAGGCGAGGACTTCCCCCACATAGGCTTACTCTTCACTATCCAGCTTGAGGCTGACACTACGTGTCTTGGCCCGGGGCTGGGCACTCCCCGACCCCTCTCGTTCTACCTGGCTCTGCCCCCGCGAGCGCAACAGCTGGCTCTGCTTGCGCAGGAAGTCGACAGGAGCAGGGCAGCCGTAACTGCCTTTGCCCAGGGTGGGCCTTGTTGTTCCCTTTGGCGAGTGGGCGAGGGAGGCTGCTTCCAGCTGAGCAAGGTGTGCAACGTAGCCGTCTGACAGGAACTGCAGGAAGAGAGATTAGGAGCAGCTGAAGATTGCTCTGGCCTTTTAAGCTTGCTCTCGTCCACCCCTTGATGAGCCACCCCATGATCAACACCACAGCAGACCCCTCAGCCCACCAAGACATGACTGAGCCTGAGAGGGTGTTGCCCAGTAGAGATGACTCTGTACCTGGCACTGGCTTTGCAGTTTTTTCACAGCTCTGCCCACAATGTAGATTTGAGACGGAGGGAGCCCTAAGGAGCTGTAGACAGAGATATCCTTGGTGGATCCGTAACCAGCCACAATGTTGACTTCTGCCTGTGATAGAAGGATGGAAATGCCGGTGATGTTTCCTCCCTGGCTCCCCTTTTCCCTGCCCTGCTGTTTCAGCTTCTCCCACGTTCACCACTCCCAACTGTGCTCGAATCCACCCCAGACAAGCCATGTGGATGGCTGCAAGGGAACGACCACATGCCTCCTGCTGCAGGCCCTGCAGGAAGGCAGCCTTCTGGCGCAGGGGATCGTGGGTGAGGCCATCACAGAAAGAGACGATGCCGTGGGGGAAGTTGTGCTGGGTGAGCCAGGCCACCACGCGATGCTTCTGCATGTCCGGACGTCCAGTCACATAGATGATCATGAAACCAGAGTCCTGCCAGTGCCTACCAGAAGAAGGAAGAGATGATTTATGGACCTGGACTCGCTCATTCATAGGTGCATGACTGCAGCTAGACCACTGGGCTGGGAAAGATGTGGACAAAGGGAGGTAAATCTGGAACATCAGCGGATATTGATTTTTCTTACTCATCAAATCGAAATAAAACCGTGAGAACTGCCTTGCCAGATCAGAACATAAGGGGCCATCTTGGCCAGCACTCTATGCCCAGCCAGGTATGCACAGGTGCTTCTGGGAAGCTCACAAGGAAGGCACGAAAGGCAGCACCCAACTCTTGTGCCCAGCATTTTACTCAGTGAGCACATCACTTCAGAACATGGAGGTTCTATTTAGTTAATGGGATTTACGGTCACTGATAGATGTACCCTGATAAATTTGGCTAATCCTATTAAAAACCCAAGTTATTGGCCACCAGCACATATTATGATATTAAGTTAATAGTGTGTGTTGTATGAAGAAGTGTTTCTTTTGTAATGGATGGTGGTGGTCTACAGAGTAGTAGTAGTTCTGTGCACATACAGAGTGTCAGAACAGCCCCAGTTTGACCCTGATAACCTTTGCCTAGTCGCCTAGATACACTTGATAAAACAGAGCTTATAACATTATTATTACTCAAATTTAAGTGTTACATCAAAATAAAAGCCAGTTAGTTTAACAAAAGCATCTATCAATTAAATGTGTGATGTTGCCCTGAAAGAGCCTTGCTCAACATCTATAAGGCTATGGACTGTAACTATAAGCTGGACTGTACAATAAGTGTGCCAGGGAACCAGAATGTGCGGTAGCCCGAAGACGGTGCCAACTTCCTGGACTGTTGGGCATGTGCCCTGCCGAGGGAAGCCTCAGCTGGAAGCCGTGTGCCAAGCCAGACGTGGACCCGGAGTATACTCGATGCCTTTCAGTCCTGCATCCCTGCAAGAGGCAAACCAACCTCCCTGATACCATAAGAGACCAGCTGAGACCAGCTGAGCTCTGAGCAGGAGCAGGAGAGAGAGTTGTGAGAGAGCTGCTGCCTGACCTCTGCTGGGGGAGGCCTCTATTTAAGGAAGCACCTTGCCAGAGGCAGAGGAGACCAGCTGAGCTCTGAGCAAGAGCAGGAGAGAGAGCTGTGAGAGAGCTGCTGCCTGACCTCTGCTAGGGGAGGCCTCTATTTAAGGAAGCACCTTGCCAGAGGCAGAGGAGACCAGCTGAGCTCTGAGCAGGAGCAGGAGAGAGAGCTGTGAGAGAGGTGAGTGGGTTTCTTTTACTTGCTTTCAGCTGAGAGAATTCAGCTAAGGATATTTTGTGGGAAAACTGTTCCTTTTATCCGTTCTAACCCTACCGCTCAGCAATTTCATGGAGTGCCCACGAGTTCTTGTATTGTGAGAAAGGGAGAAAAGTACCTCTTTCTCTACCTGCTCTTTCCCATGCATAATCTTATAAACCTCAATCATGTCACCCCTCAGTTGTCGTTTCTCCAAGCTAAAGATCCCTAAGCGCTTTAACCTTTCCTCATAGGGAAAGTGTTCCAACCCTTTTATCATTCGAGTTGCCCTTTTCTGCACTTTTTCTTTAAAAATGTATTCAGGTGTATGGTTTTTGTTGTCAGGGTTTCCAGGTCCCCCTGGCCACTGTTGCGGAATGGGGGGGGGGATAGGGTTGCCAGATCCAGCTTGGGAAACCCCTGAATATTTGGGGGCAGACTCAGAGCCTGGGGAGGACAGGAACCTCAGTGACGTACAGAGCCCACCCTCCAAAGCATCCGTTTTCTCCAGGGGGAGCTGATCTCTGCAGTCTGGAGATGAGCTGTAATTGCAGGGGATCCCCAGGTCCCACCTGGAGGCTGGCATCCCTAGTTGTTGCTGTTTTGCGACTTAATATTGAATGTATTCAGGGACAGGCCTTTGGATCTCCTTACCACCCCCAAATGGCGGCATTCCGCGTCACCGAGCGCTTCCCCTTAACTTGGATGATCTCTAAAATATGCCTTTAAATCCTGAAGCGGCCCGATTGCCGTCTCAAAACAAGTTATGCATCTGTGGCCTTTATCTTGGTCGTTCTAAAGGAAGAACCTTTTTATCATCTTGCAGGCATATTGATCTTCAGTCGTGCAGTAAACATGCCCAATTTGTTCTTCCTGAACGCACACAATGTGCTGGCGCATGCCGGCCTGTCCCTGGCGTTACGTATATGTTGATCGGTCTCTGCTCTCGGCCAGCGCTCGATAGCCTCCCGTGGAGAAGGACGGAAGTTTAACACCCTTCTTTAAACCTGTTTGAACGCATGACGCTCTGAGACCAAAGGGATATGATAAGGGAGCTAAAACTGGTTGGTTTATATCCCCCTCCGCTGCCATATAACTACAGGTGCAATTGCACAATGTCCTTTTCAGTGGCTTCCCGTTGGTTTGCTGCTGTCTTTATAACCTGGCTTGGTGTTTTTTTCCCCAATGGCTCGTTGGGTTTTGTGGATTTGTTTTAGTGGTGGGCCTCCTCAAGCCAGCCTTTGGAGAGGCCATATATACAGTCTGAGCTGTAAAGAAATTGCAAAGTGCAACAAAGATCGGGTTGCGTTTTCCCTGGGGGTAGGCAAGAAGAAGAAGAGAAGAAGAGGTTGGATTTATACCCTGCCCTTCACTACCCAAAGGAGTTTCAGAGTGGCTTACTCTGAAACTCCTTTACCTTCCCGTCCCCACCACAGACACCCTGTGAGGGAGGTGGGTCTGAGAGAGCTCTGACAAAAACTGCTCTTTTTCAAGAACAGGTCTGACTGGACTATGGCTTGCCCAAGGTCATCCAGCAGCCGCGTATGGGAGTGGGGAATCAATTAGAGATTAGAGTCCATGCACTTAGCCACTACACCAAACTGGCAAGCAAATTCCTGCCTCAGGCTGCAAGCTGCAGCAGGACTCATCACTCCAGGGGGAGCAAAAATGGGGGTGGACGGGCAGGGAGTGATGTCTTAATTCTCTAGGAATTCTCCAAATCTCTCTGGTTTTTACCACAGAGATCGGAGAATTCACAGAGTGTCTGGATCTTGTCCTGCCTCCCCCCCCATGAGCAAAGATGGCACCTGGAAACCATAAGCAAACACAATGCATTCTCTGTTGTTGACACCCCGAATGCCGTACTTCCCAGACTCTTAGATAGTCAAGTAGACTCCCCCCCCCATGTCATTTCACAGCTGACTTATGGCACTCTTTGTGGGGTTGTCAAGGCAAGAGATGTTCAGAGGTGGTTTGCCATTGTCTGACTCCACGTCGTGACCCTGGTATTCCTTGGTGGTCTCCTTTCCAAATAGTGACCAGGGCTGGCCCCGCTTACATTCCAAGATCTGATGAAACTGGGCTAGCTTGGGCTATCCAGGTCAAGGCAAAGTAGACATAACAGTGAGCAATTCATGAACAGATCTCCGCTAGAATTCATTAAAGAGCGAACAGAAGTTATACAGGATCCTATTTGAAGTCACAGCGAACAGCATTTATTTATTTATATCTTGCCTCCCCTTGTGGTTCAAGGCAGCTTGCAAGAATGGCGAAAAACATTTCCAGTTAAAACCAAGAATAAAATACCCACCCCCAGATCTCTCCCCCCTTCCCCTCTTAAAAAGATGCCTGCCATTCAAAGCCCCTCAAAAGCCCTAGCAAAGTTCTCCTTAAAACAAACAAATCTGGTACCTGATACAGATCAAGATGGGTAGCTGTCAGGGGTCATTTCCTGCAGGAGTGCACAGGAGCGGAGCTCCAGCAGTAAAGAGCCCAGGGGGCGGGCACATGCAACAAGCCCCACCCCCTGCTCCCAGCAGCCCTCAGTCAGAGCAAGAAGCAGCCAGGTAAGTTGCAGCGCTCCCCCCATCCCCCCAGTCCAAAACAGTCCCTGAGTGGTGGGTGTTGCCTTCTGACACACTTCCGGTGATGTCAGGGGGTGTGGCATATGCAAATAAGTTAGGCTAATGAGCTCCTGCACCTCTTTTTCCACTAAATGACCCCTGGTAGCCGTCAATATTCCGTCTAACCTGAGTTATAGTCTGAACTAGCTCACAGTTTTTTTTAGCCTCCAGCTCACGCATTTTCATCTTAGCTCAAGAAGGATGGCTCCAGAGCAAACGAATGTATGCAGTAACCAAATCGCTCGCTCACAACTTTAATGCCAACAGCTCACAAAGTAGAATTTTTGCTCACAAGACTCCACAGCTTAGAGGGAGCATTGGTAGCCGTGTTGGCTTGTCTGTAGCAGCAGAGAAGAGCAAGAGCCCAGGAGCACCGAAAGGCTAACAAAATTTGTGGCAGGATAGGAGCTTTGACGAGTGACTAAAGAAGTGAGCAGTGACTCATGAAAGCTCCTACCCGGCCACAAATTAGTATTCAAGGTGCTATTGGACTCTTGCTCTTTTCTACTGATTCCTGCCCATGACTCTTAATTTTTCCTCCACCATTGAAATTATTATTAACAATATCATCACCATTGACAATGGAAGCTGCATGCCTGCTTGCACTAGCTGGGGGTGGTGGCAGGGTTTGATAAGAATATTAACACCGAGCGATCTTGTTTTTGCAAGGGCAGTGGGAGTTCTAGAAGTTGGTGTGACATCGGGGCCCCTGCTGTTCTTCACGGTGCGCTGGTGCCGGGCTCTTTCACTTTATCATTGTAGCATTAATGATCCTGCTGGGCTGAAGGGCTTTAATTTAGTAGTTTGGCAAGCGCCGTGCGCACAGAAAATCAAATCCGTAGACAATGTCAATACATAATGATATTTTAGGACCCCGCAGAGATGTGTTCTAAGTACATAAACCAATCATCCCATTTTGCATTCGGGGGTTTAACAAACCGCAAGAAGCTATTCAGTGAGCAGCTGCAAACCGCTGGGCTCAAACCATTAAACCCAGAGGCACGGGGAACTGTATTCCCCGGGCTACTCGGGAGCGACCCGGGCATACTTAGAGGGAACAGGCGGCACGTAGGCCTTAAAGATGAAGCCAGGATGAAGCTCCAG